AAAGAAGAAATTAGAGTTATCTAGGAATAAAATAAAATGGAAATTTGTTTATTCAGGAAAGGCATATAAAAAGAAACCTGACTGTACCGTAGATTGGTTACTTATGAGTAAAATATAATAGAAGTTATTTAATAATTAACATAACTAGGAAGTTGGGCTGTACTAATAATAAATCAAATCCTTCAACGTTGGGAAACCAGTTGTGACGGTCTTCCATGTACACTTGAGCTATAAAAATTATGAAAAATGGTTTTGGAGTACCCCACTTTAGACATTGAAGGGTTGCTAACAAGCTTCAACTTCAGTAAGCCAATAGCTAGATCCCTCTTGGACAGTAGTTATTAATGTTTGACAAAAATGAAAATATTACCAACACACATGAATGTAAATAAAATTATTGTTCTATCATGCTTCTTGGTGAATTACTTTCTTTTAGTATTACTTTTAAATTTATGCGTGGGACTGTTTCATTAATGTTACGATCTTTGCTGGTTGAAATACCAACCTTTTATTAGCTTTGACATTCTTCACAAATTATAATCTGGTTCTTAACAGATTTTCTTGGGCACAAAGGCGTCAAGATGCCGCCTTCCTTCCAGGTAAGACAGTCGACTATAGATAATGCAATCCTTGGCTAGAGTTGCTAGAAACCTAATTGGAACTGGGATCTAAGACAGAAAAACAGGTAAAAAATAAATCCAGATAGGATCATTGGAATTGGGAACAGTTACTATCACAGAGTTGTTAGTCACTCAATCAATGAGGATATATACATCAATGTCCTTTTTCCATAATCGATCTTTTTAATTATAAAAATCACCTACATATTTATGAGGTGTTTAATTGTAATATGATTAGATATTTCAAAAAATTTATAATATGCTTAGAATACATGAAGAAACAATGATAGATAGGACTTGTAATCGAATAAGAAATAAAATCCTAATAAAATACAAAGAATATATTCTTGTAGTAATGCTATAACTGATAGTTCTAGTATTAATCCTATACTACTACTAATCTAGAAAGCTATGCAAGATGGTCCGTTGTCACTGTAAAACTCCTAGGTAACTGCTGGTAAAACTTGTTTGTCACGTGTGATAATTTTATCTTATTCATCTGCAAGTCACGCTCTATTGCTCGAGAAAAAAAGAATAAATAAAAGAGAGGAGTTGTTTACTCCCATAAGATTCTTCCTTTGAAATGTTTGATTCAACTTGGTAATTTTGATCATAATAGGCAACTTTTCTTTGCTGAGTCCAATTACTTCTACTGTTTCATGTTAATGTTAGGTGGTAGGATTGATAGAAGTTAACCATGGGAACAAGCTCACTAACAATTGCCTGGACATTTTTGCTTAATTGTTTTATCAATGTCCCTTCTCCTGTTCTCTCATTGATTGAGATAATTGGTGATTTATTTTTTAAGTATTTGAAAAGTTTAAATTAGTAGAAAATAGTTATAAATTTATTATTCACAATTACAGCTATAATGGCAAGCTTAGCAAGTGAACTTGAATCCGAATAGATTCTGATTGAAATTACCAAAGGTTATACATACTGCTACTTCCATATCCCTTCAGCTGAAATAAGATACAGAATCTAGTATACGACACGAAAACCAACTGTAAATACCAATAATAGATTCTTCAACTTCGTAGGTTGTATGTTGAAAGTCCACATACTTGTATATGAAAAATGAGTGCTGATCATAAATCTAATAGCTATTGTTTTTAACATTGCAGGAAGCCAGATGGTATTCTTCATCCTCAATTTAGTCACAGTGATTGGAGTAATACTTACATTCAAACCATTTCTAGTTCAACGACGTACATAGAATTGTTGAAGATGAAGTAAATGACATTCGAAGAAAAGTAACGACCTAATTTGGTGAAGCAAATTGGAGTTTATCGCACGAATGGAGATAGAACTGCATGTACCAGAAGTCCTTGATTATTGTATTTGAAATTTCTTAAATATGTTAGGTAACCAATTCTTTGGTGGATTGATATGCCTATAGAACACACATTATATTGTTAACATATAATGCCGAGGGTGTTTAGAATGATGCTCTCGGTACCAAAATTTTGCCATGCATAGGTGAAAACCTATATCAAGACTGGTTGGTTATCTGTGGTCTTATTATTCCATTATTACAGTGGTGCTAATACACTAAATTACTGTATACATGTGGTTTTTCTTTTCTTTTCTGGACGATGAGAAGGGGAGAGGTCTCTCTAGAATGAACTCGAATCCGGGTTATGCTTTTTTTAGATGTGTTTTCACATGAGAAATTTAAGAGAACATATGAAAAAAAAAAAAAAGAAAGAGCTAACAGGAAGAAAGAAACAAGGACAGAATGAGAGTAGGATCCAACACCAAATGGAGGAAAGAGCCTCGTAAGCAAATCCAGTTACAAAAATGATAGATATAGTAGTGGGTGTATGTATCGTTTTGGTGTATATAAATTTTTTTATGAAATAATTTGCGAATGCATTTATAATTATTCTCTTTTATGAATTTTTGTTTTTAACACAACATAAAATATGTTGTGTGTATATATAAAAAATATGTACATATCCGTTGTAAAACGGTGGCGTTTGGCACCAAGTCACAGGCTGACCGAGGTCTTTAATTAGGTTTTAGTTCATATCCGTGTTTAATGAGTAATTTTTAAATTTTATATAAAGATTCAAATTATACATTATTAATAATTTATTATTATAATATTATATAATATCTACCGCAAAATAATCACGAGATTATTATGCCGTAAATAATAATAAAAAATAAGTAATTTTTTAAAACGTAAAAAATCCTGTGGGTATAAGTACTTATAATATTTTTTTAATATATATAATATATAATAATAATAATAAAAAGACTAAGTTGTTAATTTATAAGCATCACGAATTAAGTAATATTTAAATTTTGAATTTCTTTTTTTTTTTTTGTATAATATGCTAAAAAAATTAATATTATTAAAAAATTAACTAAAAAGAGATGAGGTAGAAAAAATATCCACCACAACGAGAAACGTACATGCCATAGAAGGTGGGTCCCTACATAAATCCATTAGGGAAAAGAAATATAAATACATACATATACTTATATATATATATATATGCCATCCCTGTAGTTGCATAATAAATTTGTCTCACTTAGAAAAGTATGAGATCATTCAATTTCTTCTTTAAGCTTCCTTTGTTCTTATCTTTTAAATAACATTCCAAAAACCAAATATAACTTAATTTTCCTTCTAAAAAATTAGATTTTATTTTAAATTAATTTCTTTTTTATCCTTAAAAACTAAGTTAAAAGTAACAATTAAGATCTTGACCAAGATTATTTGAGTTTGAATTATTTTAAATATATAAAATTTATTATTTTATGTACGTATTATTTATTAATAACAATAAATTTATAATATTTAATTTAATAAAACTAAAAATTAAACTCATTAGTATATTTATAAACGTATAATAAGTAAATTAAATTTTGTCATAATAAATTATTACGATTTTAATAAAAAATATTTAATAAAATCATATTAAATATGTAAAATTTGTTATTTTGTAAATTTATGGACAATATATTTAAGTTTTATCTTATTAAATTATTATAATTCTAATAAAAAAATATTTTGAAATAATTATTATCTTTTATTTAGAGTATTTATATAGAATTAGTATACATTTTATTTATCACAAAGGAAAAAGTAATATAAAAATAGAAGGATACACGGTCCCAAAATTCAAAACATGTATCATAGTCCTTTGTTGACGAAGAAGATCAACGCAGTATTCCAATTTGTATTTTCCGAATAATCAAATCCGAACCGTTCATTTCATCGGCATCAACGTTTAAAAAGTCCCCACGACCAACTCTTGCCATGTACCTCACCAACACCCAAACCCAAGAGGTCCACGTGCTTTAATATGATTCCTCTAATCAACTATGCTTCTGATTGGCGCGTGCTTC